TTTTTGCGGAACCAGGGATCGAACTCAGGCCCTTGCGCTTGCCAGGGAAGCGCTTATTCCACTGAGCCATCTCCCCGGCCCCAACAAATATTATCTTGATATGCACAAGAAAATATTTGAGAAGCTTAGTTTGGGCTGGGGAGATAGCTTGGTGGTCGAAGCACCTGGCTGACAAGTGCAAAGACTTTAAGTTTGATGCCTGGTACCACATGCTGTGCCAGCATTCCAGCCACCAAAACCAGGCATGGTGACCCACGCCTATAATCCCAGCTCTGGGGACTAAATCTATGTAGCAAGACCCTGTACCAAATAAGGATTTTTAACAATTTTTTAAAAAGCTTATTTTAATCTAATTGTATAATTACCAAAAGAACAAGCTTTCTTTCACTTTTCTAGAAATTCGAATTGAATATGGTTTCATAATCACCAGCACTTGACACACAGAATGTGTTTTTTGTTATAATAGCATTTGTTCTATTTAGTTGGTCTCAAGCTGAAGGGCTACTTCACTTTAGGCCTGTACAGATGGTAAAACTTTCTTCAAAAGTCCAAGATTAGCACCTTTCTTCGAATAGGAAAGTGATAAGCATTATATTCTTTAATTAGAATAATAGGACCTAAAGAGTGATGAAAAACTAGTATTTGGTTTGTAATACTATTTTAACTTGAATACAAAAGCTTGTGGAACATCCCTACAAAGTATGCACTTCATTTTGAGAATGATTTTTTTTTGCTGGTTCAGGTTGCCTTAAGGGCGGGTCTGGTAAGGCAGGTGGAGGTGGGTGTCCAACCGCAGTATCCTGCACCTGACTGCATTTGCATGAGCAGGCGCTTAAACAACTGAGCTAACCGGCAGGTCCCACACTTCATTTTGAAAAATCTCAATTCCATAACAAGGATTCAGAGAAAATGAAGCACATATTTTACATATTTAATATACATAATTTCTACAAAGAAAACATAATCAATTCTTCTTGTCCCACATAATTACAATGGACCACTCCGATCTTAACTATCTTTATGATGCCGCAAGTCAACAGTATGGAAGTTCTTTGCTTTAGAAAATATCAAACCTTTAATTCTTCCATTTCTTGATTAAAGCCCTCTGGTATATTCTGAATACTGCAGGCAGCACCCCACTCTTCAGTCCTAATCGAAAAGAATGAGTTAGATCTAAAAGCTTTTTACAGATGTAGAAGTTCCGTGTCTCATGTGTAGCGACCATACTACCACCTAGTGGTGAAGTACCTCATTTTAAAACTGAGGCAAATAACTTTGACTTCAGTATCTGCCTTATGCTTTCTTAAGTATGTGCTACAATACACTTATTTAGCAGGTTACAGTCTATAAGAATACACCCTTGAGATAGTCTCTATGATTCTGTTTCCTAGTGTTCACACACTTGTGTCATCTGTTTCCTAGTGTTCACACACTTGTGTCATTCTCCTCTCCTGAAGTTTGCTTCTACTCAAGACAGGACTCAGGCAAACTATAAAAGAACCTAACACTCACCTTCCTGGTCTCTCTTTCCTAAGCTGCCAGCCCAGTGTGAAAGGAGGTGAGGGCTGACTAACTGCCAACAAAAAACTGAAGCTCTGAGTCCCACAACTGGAAGAAACCAAATAGTACCAAGAACCATGGTGGTGGTTTATCTTTTCCCAAAGCTCCAGCCAAGACTCAGTTCTGGGCAACACATTCAGTACAGTCTCACGCGACCCTTAGGAATTCCCAATTAAGCCACTCATAGACAGTAAACCTACATAAATTGTAAGAAAGTGTGCTGTTCTAAGCTGCTAAGTTTGTAATAATATACAGCACTAGATGAGTAATATACTTTGACTCCCTACTACTACAGTTTCCATAAGCCTAAAGTCCTTAAGTGACCAGTAAAGAATGAAGCAATTTGTACCCTGATATGAGTGCAACCCTTGATAGTCCAAATTAGTTTTAAAAATTATGTTCAAGCAAAAATAAAGCTGCAAGTATTAAATGTCAAAGAACTAGAACTGTAAGACTAAAACAGAGTAATATCTGTCTGGCATAAAACCTGCATAAATTTCTGACAGAACTAGGAATAAGGAGTAGGAAAGTAAGCTATACAAGACAACACAACACCAAGTTTATTATCTAAAACCCCAAGTTTTCAACTATATCTATAGGTACACAATCGAAAGGCATACCAAAGGCAGATATTCAAAAATTCCAAACCTCCTCTTACCTAAGCCTGAGAGATTTCTATTAACTGCGTGAGTCACCATTTCAAAAATCATGCCTAGAATCAGTTTCTTCTCAAAGTATGCTCCGTAGCCTACCTATACCAGCATACTTAGGTATATCAGGGTTCTTTGAAAAGCAGAGTCTTACCTCATTTTGTCCTCAAATTTCGTGAAGGTGGACCCAGAGACCTTCCCTTTTAACAAGCACTCTTGAGTAATTTGTACAAATCAAAAGATTGAGAATCACAGAATTACATAGTTGTAAAGTCACTTCTAGCAATAAAAAATGGATCACAAAGAACAGAACCCACAAAGTCTATTTTTGGCATAACTGCTCACGCCTCCTTAAAAAACATACACTCGTCTTTTGTGATGTAAAACCACAATACATTTACATGTATGTGTGTACAAGTAATATAAATAATAAGCCTGCCTGGCCCCTTTCATACTCAAGTGATGATACACATAAACAAGAAATACACTTATCATGTAAACATCCCCTTTCCCTTTATTACCTGTCCTGAATTGAAGTCATGTCATCAATACTGGCATCCTCACTTTCAGCCACACTTTCAGCCACAGCATTTTTATTTTTCTTAGAACCAGTTCGAAACAAGTGAACTGCAGTGTTCAATGCTTCTTCATCCACAACAAACACATTCTTATAGAGAATCTCATATAATATAGCTAAAGTATGAAAAAAAGGACAGAACCACTATTGGTAAGACTTACATTTTTAACAATGCAAAAGTCATCATAACGCAACATACAAATTCTCTTAAGCATCAAGAAGGCTTTAAAGAGCTGTATTTAGGGACTCTCTCAAATTAAAGACAAGAAATCATCTGAAATCACGCAAAATATTTACAAAGCTTTCACATACCCTGACAAATAGCTGCATTTGACTGAAATTGTTTTGGGTACACAGAATCATAATGACCATTACTTGAATAGGAGAGTAGAATCTAAAGAAAAACAGAAAAATTAATGTTACATTTCTCATAATTACAAAATTAGGTTGATAACTTGAATAAAAATTTAGAAAGCAATAATGATTTATCATTTTAAATGATTTAAAAATTAACATAAGTAAACACAAGCTACTTCTAATTAGGACTTTTTTTTGGTGGAATCGAGTTTTGAACTCAGGTCCTTATGCTTGCCAGGCAAGCGCTTATTCTACTGAGCCATTTCCCCAGCCCCCATTAGGACATTTTCTTGGAAATGACTTTTAAATTCTAAGATGAAAATCACTACCAAAGTTATACTGTGAACCTCAATCACATTCCCTGAATACACCAAAAAAGTTCTGACTTACAAATCCGCATCAACATGTGAACATTTATATTTAATTTAGTTACTAAACGTTAACAGAAAAGTTTTATCTTAAAATCCAAGTCAAATACCCAAATATCCCAAACTCAAGATGAGGGGTGGGAAAAAAAAGCTGAGGGGTGGAAAGGAAGTTCATTTTATGCAGTTTATTGAAGCAGCTATTAAACTGAATGGCAATACATCAATACACTATATAGGTTGGATACACAGACCTTCCTAATGAATTAAAGCAGTCAGATAGTTACAGAAACAGAGAATTAACTTCTTAGATGACTGATTCCTTCAATCCTTAGCCTTTTAAATAAAAACTATTAAAAGGTCATGCTTGCCAAAAACTCAAACTTGACCCGGGTCTATCACCATGTACTAAACTAAAGTCAAAATGGATTAAAAATCTAAACATTAAAGCAGAGACACTAAATCTCTTGGAAGAGAAAGTAGGTGGAACTCTTGAAGACATAGGGGTAGGC